CTCATATCGCTCATAGAGCCTGTCTCGATTATATTCTAACAGACCTATATCTCCTCTACTTCGCTGTAGGTGGTGGGTATTTCACTGATATAATAATTGTAAAGAAAATTTTTCTTGCACCAGTTCACCTATACGGGTTTGCTTTCTTACCATATTATCTATCATTCTATTTACCTGGTTTTGAGTATTAGTTTGATATTGATGGAGAATACCAATAACATTGGCCATCCTTCCTTCAGCAAGTTGCCTTCGTATAATTTTATTGTCGGGATCTGCCTCTGCATCATAACGCCTTCATTGCTCACAGATTAAATCCTGATGCAAATTATTCTCTTTCTGGCGAATTTGCCTTATTGTCCTTTTTATTTGACCAGCCAAGATTTCTTTATCTATTGTTAGATTATCTAGATAACCATCTATAGCCTTTGCTAGCTCTATAATTGTAGCCATATTATCATCGGAATTATATTGATCAGGAGAATTCCCTCGTACTGGTAAATTTTTTCGTGATGAAATGACCTTGATCCAGCATCTCACTTTCTCAACTTGCTCTTCAGATTCTTCCAAGTGCTTTTCTAAAACAGAAATATAGTTTTCCTTATCTTGTATATCTTTCTTAGCTTGATATAGCCGACTTTTTAGGCTGGAGATTTCAGACTTCAACTCTATTATCTCTTCTTTCGAAGCATTCTCAAGACGTTCTATCTCCCCATTAAGTGTCTGGATTTCTTGTACACAGCGGTCATAATCACGTTCTAGATCCCTAATCTGTTTCTCATTTCGACGATTAGTATCAACTTCTATTTGTATTTCATTACGAAGATGATAGTTTTCCTCCTCCAGCTCAGCTTTATGTTCTTCACACGTTCTTCTTTGCCTTGAATAGGGCCTCCGAAATGTCATTATTTTTTTCATGATTATAAAAGACAATGGGAGAACCGGTTATTTATATCGATCCTCAAAAAGCTCGAGACTTAGATCAATTTATAGCAAAACAAAAGCCTACGATTTTTATTGATCCCCAGAAAGCTTATGATCTAGACTGGCATCTTGCCTTACAGAAGCTGTATTATCATCCTGAGGGTCTTTACCAAAATATTAAGGGATTGTGGGATGCTTGTAAAAAAGCCGGCTACAGCCTTACTCATGTACAAAAAATGGCTTGAGGGCCAAGCAATGTATCAAATTTTTCGTCCTTCACCAAAGCATATTCCTTATGCCAGTTACTCTAAAATCACGAAGCCAAATACTGTACACCAATGTGATTTAATCGAAATACCATATGATGAAGATGTGGATACAAATTTACTAGATGATGATGGCCCAATATATTACTATGTACTATTGGTTATAGACTGCGTGACTAGATATAAAGATTTCGTTTTTTTAACATCAAAGAGCAGTGAGGAAGTTGCGGAAGCATTTAAGAGTATATATGATAATCCTGATAAACCTCTTAACTGGCCTCGAAAATTGCAATGTGATAAGGGCACTGAGTTTATGGGATATGTGACTTTATTAATGGATGAGCATGGCGTTGAGATCCGAAGAATTATAGCACGTTTTAGGCATACAAGTTTTGCAATGATCGATTGTTATGCTGGATTATTCGAATATAGAGTTTTTAAAAATCAATATTTGGTAGAGTTTCTCTTACCTACCGGCGAATATTGCAGGGAATGTGAACGATTTGCGAGAAGAATTGTTGATAACATGAATGATAGCCCAACTCGATTAATTAGAATGAGACCTAATAACGCTATGAAACTTGAGCGGGTATATTCCAAACCATCGGTAAAATATAATCGTCTCATAGGCATTGATGAACCTCAACTACTAAAGGGTACTACTACTGTCTGATTCTTACTTGCTAAGGGAGAATGGGAAAATGATCCTTTCGAATGACGCAGGATAACAGATCCGATATGATCCCCTAGCCTACATAAAATCTGAAGAATTGTTGTCAGAAAGAATCCTCCAATGCCTGTTTTATATTATTTAGATGATTCAGGGCCTCAGCGTCCCTTTGTAAGAGAACAATTAATGCATATTAAGGAAGAGCCTATGTTGCCTCCTAGGTGGGTATTGAGAGATAACCAAATGCGCACAAGGCGCTCCTTATAAAAGTTTTTAAGTCTACTATGCAATAAGGGATTGTAATAAGGATTACTCCTTCCCGATAACATAACGCTCTCTTTTTCCAATCACGCCAAATTTGTGCATCTAGATTCATTTGTTCTTGCAGGTGAAAAAAAGGCACGATTTGATAATATTGATTACTACTGTATTCGAAAGCCAAGCCCAGCTCTTCATTATATCCATCTAGATGTAATCCCTACAAAAATTTAGGTTTTCAGAGAGGAAATTTTTTATGTAATAAATCCTCAATTATATACCGGCATGTTCTTTCAGGTACATTAGAGCAAATGTTGCACCATCTATAATTCTGTTTCATATTTTTATATGGCGCCTCCCATTGATGGCCTTTTTTACATGCCCATAAATATGTATTAGGACTAACTTTGCCTAAGCATCTTTCATCACGTCTCTGGGCATATGTTAAAGCTTTAGTGTCAATTTCATCTTGCATTTTATAGGTGCAATAAAATATCACATATAGAAATTTGTGGTAGTAATTTTGAGCGAATACGCTTGCTGGCAAAATACTGGGTTAGTAGTAGTATCCAAAAGTAATTGACACAATAATAACCCAAAGTAATCAGATATAGGGGTACCCCAGAAGTAGCAACTATATGAGAAAGAGTTTTAGAAAAGCAGGAGTGAAAACTAGGGTATAAATTTGGTGGGCCACTCAAGCAGAATTATATATAGGAAAGAAAAAAGAAATTATGCTCGAGTGGCTCACTGATGATAGGCAGGAAAGAGGTCAGGAAAGCGAAAAGACTCAAAAGAATACACGAAAAAAGAGTATGAAAGCTGTAAAGCCTGAACCAATTCGGCACTTCGAGCTTCATCTTCGGCAATCAAACAGGCTATAAAAGGCGGGATTGCAAGAATGGCATAACACTAAACACTTCAAATATGCCTCACCGGCAATCAAAAAGTGGGTGAATAGATTGCAATACATTTTTAGCAAATAGATGGATTGCAAATTCGGCATTTCGTGACTCATCCGGCAATCAAGAAATGGCAATTAAGAGGGAAGCAACTATGTGAAAGTATTCCGGCATCAGAACAGTATCACATGACTATAGCGCAGTAAGATGCAATATTAATTCGCTTAATTTCAACCAACACTATTCCACAATTTCAACCAGAACTTTGGATATAATATTTTGACACCCAAGCTAGCATAAAACTGGCAAACTAATAGAACCTCTCTGGATCTCTGCCAGTTCCATAACAGTTCCAGGAGAGTTCTATGATACTACCAGGATGCCATCACGACACCATCACGACACCAAATTGGATCCTTAAATCACATGTCCAAAAGATCAGCCAAAGTTATACCATAGAACCGGCCAAAATTAATCACAAATTCACTGCACCACCGTCGCCTCTTTTTTTTTACACTATTTCAATATTTTAAAGGGCAACCAAATAGACGCAAAAAAGAAGAATCCTCAATATCTTAACAGGTCACCAAACAGGCCCAGAAGCAGAAAAACAAGCGAATAGCTCTTTAGAAACAAAAAAAGCGTAAAGCATTGTAAACATATGAATAGTTCCTTGATAATAAAAAGAGGACAGAGCAATAAAATCAAGCAGATAGCTACAAGGCAATAAAAAGACCACAAAACTTCAAAAATATATAACTAGGTAATATTACACTCATAACTAGTTAACATTATAATGTTAACTAGTACATTAGTAATTTCATCAAATTTTTTTTGAAGTTGTCTAGCACTGTTACGATTGTTTTCTTTAGTTATTACTTTTAAAATATATTTATTTTCATTGTTTATTTTTCGTGGCCGTTCTGAACGAGATGAACTTTTTGTAATTCCTTTATTATTGTAACGAAGAATAGTATCAGCAACTGTTAATTTAGGAATATTAGTAATACTACTAATATTTCTTTGACTGTGACCGCCTTTATGAAGACCAATAATTTGACCACGT